CTCTCCTTTAGGTGAGTTCATAATGCCAGACAGGTAAATGCCGCGTGTTGTTTTAACTAATTGTAGGGGAACTGGGTTGTAGGGGTTTTGGGAGATAACCGAGCTGACTGATGGTCACTTCTGTTATTGATTGTTTTTATAAGGGTGATAAACCTGAAGATGTTGGGATGGTTGGTGGTCATTTTGTTGATTCTTGCGTGCCACCCCTCAACATGATTCGTGGTTCATGGACCTAGCGTGTCAAAATGGTTCCACATATTTCTGTCTTCTCCTTCAACCAACTGCTCAGTTACGTAATCAGCAAGCTTCGAAATTGAACTAAGTGTTCACTCACTTTATTCTAATTAATTTTGATTAAACACTATATATTTAGGAGATAAACATACTGTGTTTTCAATGTAGAGCTAGGTTACCTGTAGATTTAACCGCGCTAAATTGAATTTGGAACCGAACTCGCAGCGTGAGGTTTCAAATGTTAAATTTAGCGCGGTTAAATCTACAGGTAACCTAGCTCTACATTGAAAACACAGTATGTTAATCTCCATTCTACCATGACAAAATAAAAAGCGAACTCTTTGGTGTTAGCAAATATACTGAGTGAAGTGGCATGGGATGAGTCCAGTGTTTTGAGTGGGTGATCGATCTTAATTACAGAATCACCGAACAAAATATGGCGCTGTATATACTCAAGCAGTTTGTTTACACCGTAATACTTCACTCGAACATATGACAGGCATTGAAAGCATATTTATTACCCATATGGGCTCAAATATGCAGTGTAATAACTTTTTGATATTTGCACAGTGTGCAATTAGTGATTCTCGAAGCTGATTGGTCAGTTAAACAAATGTCAATTTTCATTGGTCGACGGGACTATTTTTCTCTCATTGAGTTCATTCACAAAGCAAAATCAAAGCCTCCATAGCAAAAAGATGGCAAACCCAATGGGACGCAAGTAAGATCGGCAGATGGCTATACAAAATTCAACCCAAGGTCCAACAAAAGCCAAACTCATACTCAAATGAAAGGAAAATTGAAACTGCTATCTCACGCCTCAGACTTGGTCACAAAAAGCACTATGACAAGGTTTGTTCATCTTGCAATCAGGCTGAAACCATTGACCACCTGTTACTAGAATGTCAAGACCATGCCCCGGCCCGGGCTAGGTTAAAACAAGAATTGCAGTTAGATCCGCTATCTGTCATAGATCTCCTAAAGCCAAGAGATGCAATAGCGAAGGCCAAACTAACTCTATTTCTGAGAGATGGACAGCTGCTCGAACGTATATAAACAGAGCAGCCAAGGATAAAAATGAAATCATATCAATATAAGAAAATAGAAATCATATCAATGCAAAAACAGAAATTATGTGAACACCGAACTCACAATAGATATGTGAACCCTTCTCACACACAGGAGTCCCAAAGAGGGACAGGTCAGCCGAAATTGCCTAGGCAGAAGGCGACCTCTTAAACACCTAATGCAACAACAATTCACAAATCTCAAAATTTCAAAACTTTATATAAGCAACCACTAAACCCCCCTCCTTGGTTGCACTCCTCTCGCTACCACTTTTATACCACTAAATGGCCCGGCCGGGCCCGTGTGCGAAATACGCTCCAGTCGGAAAGCGCACGTAAAATCTCCTAATATAAGTAAGTAAGTAAGTAAGTTCACAAATCCAGAGCATTCATTCACATGTTTTACGTGCTACAATCTCACATAATCGAGATTTATAAGACTAGAACAAAGTTTCATATCAACCACATGATTTCACAGTATAATGAATAAAGCATTTATTTCGCACGAGTTTTAGTTTACAATAAGCGTAATTACAAAAAACCCAACTACGTCTGCATTGTTTGTAAACAAACATGGCTGACCATTTGACACCTGTCAAACTAAATGACCTCGTTAAAGTAGACGGAGATCTGACAGGAAGAGTTATTCGCATAATTCAACCTCTGAACACATTTAATGTCTTTGTTGTCAAAACTGCATATGGCCAGATTGAAGTTCCAAGTTTCAGATTGTGATGTTGCCAGAAACTGTTTCTAGTGCGCTAAAACTCAACACCACCAAGTCCGGATTTGCGTCTGTGTTAGAGGACTTGCTGTTTGGCGAATCTTTCGACCACACGAATCCCCAAAACCGGACTTTGTATAGACAGGTTTGCCTTTGTGAACGATGATGACATCGATAACTGCCAATGAAAAGGAAAACACAATGAAAAAGACTAAATTTGACAAGTTGACATGAACTTAGTTCAAATTTATACTGGTAAGAAAAACACGAAAAATAAGACTACTCACACTTTCAATGATGGCATAAGAATAAAAACAAATTCCTTTTGCAACAACAACTTTCCGAAAGAATTTAAGTTTGTAACATTGTGTGAAGAAATAAGAACGCGACACTTTTTTATACAATGTATACGTTTTTGTAACCGCGACGTCAGCACAGTACGGCGCTGAGCGTTTTGCAGGCTGACTGACGTCCGGGCACCATAAGACTATGAGGGTTAATGACACAGGAAAGGTGCAACTAAACATTATTCTTTGCAAATTTATCATTTCGGCATGCACATCAGACGGTTCAGAATTCGAAATGCCTACTTTGAGGGAGATCAAGGGTAGCACCGAGTGCTACCTTAGCGACAAGATTACCAACATCTGGTTGCGAAATCGATGCACTTTGCTGAACTCAAATAGGTTTTGAAATCAAAACAAAAATAATTAAAAATACAAGGAAAAGAAAACTTACCCCAGCGAGGTGATCCTGTGTCCGACATTGAACTAAATGAGCTCCGTGAATGCGGACAGCTTGTCACCAAGTCTCCAGATACCGTGTTAGTCTATCAACAGGTATTCGACCATATTATGAATCACATCAAAATATCAACAAACTCCCGTTATCTGACTGTGTCCACTCCACAAGCGCGTTTGACTCAGACAAGTCCTCCTAAAATCCCACATGCACAAGTTTCCCATCAGTCACACTTGTCTCAAATCACAAACGATGTTCATTAAACTTGTTGTCCGGATTAAACTGTAATGCCGGTTCTCTTGTCATTCCTGGTTTCGGCTGTCTCATATCTTGGTCAAGTCGGGTCATTCTTTCCGACACTGACAGCAATCGTATTTTTCAAAGTTTACCTACTTGTCGTAACTTTTCTCAATCAAACATGACTTCTGTACATTCCTTCTATGTTGTTGATACAGGTTTTTGCATTTTTACCGAATGACACATGAAAAAATTGACAGGTTTTCCGTGTTTCCTCTTCTCAATGTGAAATTCATGTCCATGGTGATGCACGACGGCTATTGTCTTGTCAATGAGAGGTCTTGTCAAAACAAGCCTTGATTAAAAAGCCTGTTGAACCTTTTTTGAAAATTGTCTTCTTTTATCAATGGTAGATAGTGTACGCTGTATAACTCAGACAGAAATATAACTGCAATAATGTGATCTTTCAAGTTTTGTTAACAGAACTATATTTTTACGCGTAGCAAGACGTTGTTGATTGAGTAATGCGGCTGGAGTGAGTGGACAGTGTTTTTTCACATGCGGATTGATACAAAACAGCTGATTCTTGATCGGCGACAGTTCATTGTTTTTTTCTTGAAACATGTCTTTAATATGAATATGGGTAATAAATAGAATAACCCACGAGGTACGAGTGATTACGGAAAATATGTCACTCGTGAAATTAATCTTTTAAGTTCCTCGCTAAAGCTCGGAACTTAAAACATTAATTTCACTCGTGACATATTTTCCGTAATCACTCGTACCTCGTGGGTTATTCTATAAATAGGCACGGCATCTTGGTAAGCTAACATGAAGTGGGCATCCCTAAAGAAAACAAAGCAAGCTTTGCAAGGCCTTCGCTCTACATCGCGCGTCACCATTATGACGTCATATCGCTCATAGTGACGCAAAAGCTATGACGTCACAGTCGTATATAGAAAAGCGCCAAAATTTCAAGCTCTCTGTTGTCTCCAAAACGTAAATACATTCCCTTTGTTTATTTCTGTCGTGTTTTTCTGCACGAAATGTATTGCCACACATCCTTTGAATATTGTAGTAACCGCATCTGTGCATTTTGTAACCTGTAATTGTAGATATAGTTATTTAAATATGCCTATCGACAACGACTGAAAATAGTACTATTCTATTAATATTAGCTTCCGCGGTGATGCGCCCGTCAAACCAGCTGTTTCAATCAGAGGGGGTTTATTGTGATTTAATAGCCTCTGTTTGACCAATCAGAATCGAGTAAATTCCAAATTCATGGTAGAATAAACATTTTGACACGAGAACTCATATCACTAACATTCACCTTAAGTTACGTGAACATGGTTCATATCAGCTAATTAGTAAACGCCTGTTTCTAGCAATGCGTGACTGCTTATCTGCCGTAATCCGACTAATGCGGATTAGATTTAATTAGACTTAATTAATCCATATCATCTGCCGGCAAAGTGAGAACAAACTAGAAGCAATACTAAACCCACAAAATAAACTAGAAAACTTCAAGGCCTTAGGCGTATTCTTAATAAAAACGGAACTAATAAAACGCATCTAAAAACACAATAACCTACCAAATCAAAATCACATAAACAAACAAACATCCACCATACCCAGCTCCCTTAGTTCTCCTCCCCAATCCCATCGGCATCTATTCCAAATCTCAAAATTCCCAAATTCTATATAAGCAACCCCTAAAACCCCCCTCTTGGGTTGCACAGACCACTTTCGCCCCTTTCGGAAACACATTAAATGGCCTGGCCGGGCCCGTGTGCGAAATACGCATCAGTCGGAAAGCGCACGTTAAATCTCCAAAGTAAGTAAAGTAAGTAAGAGAACAAACCGTGAGAACACCCCTATAACGCGACAATCGGTATTGTTAGAAAAGGTGCAGATAATCGACGTGAAAATTGTGAGATGACCAACCTCAACCCTCCTGTACATATTCACAACGCTAGATCACAACCAATACATACCTTTACCCAGGCGTTTAATGGCCTTAATTCCCGGGAGAACGCTAGGTCTGTCGATGGTGTTTTCTTCCTGTTTTACAAACGCCTCATGTATAGCATCATATCCCGACACAAGAATCATAGTATAGTGTCCAAAATATACCCTGGCAACCTGGCCGTACGTCTTGTGCACCATCGGAAAGAAGCGATGAGTATTCTCTCGCCCTAACAACGCCATGTTGAGGTAGGAACCAAGGAGGGGCCATCGTGTTGGTCCCGGGGGCGAGCGTCTTTCTCCGTCCCTCCGACAGATGAGGTACAGGGTGCTGACAAGGAGGACAAGTACCGCTATCCCCACACATGTCAGAATGGTGGCGTTCTTCTCTATCCACCGCGCTGCTATATCAACTGCAGCCTCCATCCTCAAGCACACTGTGCTAGCTTTCCGCACTCGTTCACGTTTGACAAAGTAGCAGCTGTGGATAACGGGGTCACATGAAACATCCAGTGATAGAAGTACATGCAGTTTGAGCGTAATATTATACCGCGTTTCGCTTCGATGCTACGTGCATCCTTCTTCCAGTCACATGTTGACCTTGAGACGGTTAAATTTGCTGTTTGGGTCTAAGCAGACTATTGCTCGCCCTGCTATTTATATGCAAGCTTTAGAGGACACACAAACACGATCGTATGCAAGGTGTGGCGATGCATTGAAGCAAAACGTCCTCATACAAACCGAACATTGCACTCCCTCACATTCAGTGATTTCAACCAGCCAAGCAAGCGTTCACGGTTCACTGTGCAATGAAACTAGTAGAGTGTATTAGCTGATATTGGTGAGGTGAAATTGGGTTTAACGTCGCGGCCAAGATTATTGCACTTATATAGCGACGTGCATGCACGTGTATGTGTGTGTGTGTGGCTGCTTGTACTAGTCCGGACTGATGCCGATTTATAGTGCTAGCTCACTGAGATACCATGCCGCAGTTAAACATGAATACCCCACTCAGACACAGTATACTGACTCCGAGCCGACCAGTCCTTGTTTTAGCCCCTTAATGCCGAGCGCCAGACAGGGTAACAACAAGTACAATCTTTTAACGTCTTTTTGTATGACGCGGCCCGGGATCGAACCCTGGACCTTCCGCTCTCCGGGCGGACGCTCTACCACAAGACCACGGAGGCGGTCGTATTAGCTGATATTGCTATGATCCACTTTCAAACGCGGCGGATCCACAGGGGTAGCAGTGTCAACTACTCTTCTTGAAACATACTATTTATACTTTTACAATGTCATTGGGTGACATATCTTCAAGAACAAGTTGTGCCTCCCAAACTATGTCCATGCATTTATTAATTGTAAGGATTGTGGAATGCTTGCTATCCAAATTGGTATCCGGTGATGGTGATGGATGGTTGGATTGTGGAATGCTAGCTATCTCCATTACTATCCGGTGCTGGATAGTCGAATTGTGGAATGCTTGCTATCCCAATTGGTATCCGGTGCTGGATAGTCGAATTGTGGAATGCTTGCTATCCAAATTGGTATCCGGTGCTGGATAGTCGAATTGTGGAATGCTGGCTGTACAAATTGGTCTCCAGTGCTGGATAGTCGAATTGTGGAATGCTTGCTATCCGAACTGATATCCGGTGCTGGATAGTCGAATTGTGGAATGCTTGCTATCCAAATTTGTATCCGGTGCTGGGTAGTTGAATTGTGGAATGCTTGCTATCCAAATTGGTATCCGGTGCTGGATAGTCGAATTGTGGAATGATGGCTATCTCCATTACTATCCGGTGCTGGATAGTCGAATTGCGGAATGCTTGCTATCCAAATTGGTATCCGGTGCTGGATAGTCGAATTGTGGAATGCTTGCTATCCCAATTGGTATCCGGTGCTGGATAGTCGAATTGTGGAATGCTTGCTATCCAAATTGGTATCCGGTGCTGGATAATCGAATTGTGGAATGCTTGCTATCCAAATTGGTATCCGGTGCTGGATAGTCGAATTGTGGAATGCTTGCTATCCAAATTGGTATCCGGTGCTGGATAGTCGAATTGTGGAATGATGGCTATCCAAATTGGTATCCGGTGCTGGATAGTCGAATTGTGGAATGCTTGCTATCCAAATTGGTATCCGGTGCTGGATAGTCGAATTGTGGAATGCTTGCTATCCAAATTGGTATCCGGTGCTGGATAATCGAATTGTGGAATGCTTGCTATCCCAATTGGTATCCGGTGCTGGATAGTCGAATTGTGGAATGCTTGCTATCCCAATTGGTATCCGGTGCTGGATAGTCGAATTGTGGAATGCTGGCTGTACAAATTGGTCTCCAGTGCTGGATAGTCGAATTGTGGAATGCTTGCTATCCGAACTGATATCCGGTGCTGGATAGTCGAATTGTGGAATGCTTGCTATCCAAATTGGTATCCGGTGCTGGGTAGTTGAATTGTGGAATGCTTGCTATCCAAATTGGTATCCGGTGCTGGATAGTCGAATTGTGGAATGCCTGCTATCCAAATTGGTATACGGTTATGGATAGTCGAATTGTTGAAGGTCTGCTATCCAAATTGGTATCCGGTGCTGGATAGTCGAATTGTGGAATGATGGCTATCTCCATTACTATCCGGTTCTGGATAGTCGAATTGCGGAATGCTTGCTATCCAAATTGGTATCCGGTAATGGATAGTCGAATTGTGGAATGTCTGCTATCCAAATTGGTATACGGTTATGGATAGTCGAATTGTTGAAGGTCTGCTATCCAAATTGGTATCCGGTGCTGGATAGTCGAATTATGGAATGCTTGCTATCCCAATTAGTATCCGGTGCTGGACAGTCGAATTGTTGAATGCTTGCTATCCCAAATGGTGTCCGGTGCTGTATAGTCGATAGCCGATGGAAAGTCGGATTGTGGAACGCCTTCTCTCCGAACTGAAATCTGGTGATGGAAAGTCGGATTGTGGAATGCCCTCTATCCGAATTGAAATCCGGTGATGGGAAGTCGGATTGTGGAACGCCTTCTATCCGAATTGAAATCCGGTGATGGAAAGTCGGATTGTGGAATGCCTTCTATCCGAATTAAAATCCGGTGCTGGATAGTCGAATTGTGGAATGCTTGCTATCCCAATTGGTATCCGGTGCTGGATAGTCGAATTGTGGAATGCCTGCTATCCAAATTGGCATCCGGTGCTGGATAGTCGGATTTTGGAAAGCTTGATATCCGAACATTTCTTTCGGTTTAATGATAGTCAGACTGCGGAATGCTTTCTCCCCAAACGAAACCCGGTGATGGAAAGTTGGATTGTGGAACGCCTTCTCTCCGAATTGAAATCCGGTGATGGAAAGTTGGATTGTGGAACGCCCTCTATCCGAATTGAAATCCGGTGTTGGAAAGTTGGATTGTGGAACGCCCTCTATCCGAAATGAAATCCGGTGATGAAAGTTGGATTGTGGAACGCCTTCTCTCCGAATTGAAATCCGGTGATGAAAAGTCGGATTGTGGAACGCCTTCTATCCGAATTGAAATCCGGTGATGAAAAGTCGGATTGTGGAATGCCTTCTATCCGAATTGAAATCCGATGATGAAAAGTCGGATTGTGAAACGCCTTCTATCCGAATTGAAATCCGGTGATGAAAAGTCGGATTGTGGAACGCCTTCTATCCGAATTGAAATCCGGTGATGAAAGTTGGATTGTGGAATGCCTTCTATCCGAATTGAAATCCGGTGATGGAAAGTCGGATTGTGGAACGCCTTCTATACGAATTGAAATCAGGTGATGAAAGTTGGATTGTGGAACGCCTTATATCTGAATTGAAATCTGGTGATGGAAAGTCGGATTGTGGAACGCCTTCTATACGAAATGGTATCTTGTGATGGAAAGTTGGATTGTGGAACGCCCTCTATCCGAATTGAAATCCGGTGATGGAAAGTGTTGGATTGTTGAACGCCTTCTTTCCGAATTGAAATCCGGTGATGGAAAGTATGATTGTGGAACGCCTTCTCTCCGAACTGAAATCCGGTGATGGAAAGTTGGATTGTGGAACGCCCTCTATCCGAATTGAAATCCGGTGATGGAAAGTCGGATTGTGGAACGCCTTCTATCCGAATTGAAATCCGGTAATGGAAAGTCGGATTGTGGAAAGCCTTCTATCTGAATTGAAATCAGGTGATGGAAAGTCGAATTGTGGAATGCCTGCTATCCAAATTGGCATCCGGTGATGGATAGTCGGATTTTCGAAAGCTTGATATCTGACCATTTTTTCCGGTTTATTGATAGTCGGACTGCGGAATGCTTTCTCTCCGAATTGAAACGCGGTGATGGAAAGTTGGATTGTGGAACGCCTTCTCTCCGAATTGAAATCCGGTGATGGAAAGTAGGATTGTGGAACGCCTTCTATCCGGTGGAATGCCTTCTATCCGAAATGAAATCCGGGGATGGAAAATCGGATTGTGGAACGCCTTCTATCCGAATTGAAATCCGGTGATGGAAAGTCGGATTGTGGAACGCCTTCCCTCCGAATTGAAATCCGGTGATGGAAAGTAGGATTGTGGAACGCCTTCTATCCGAATTCAAATCCGGTGATGGAAAGTCGGATTGTGGAATGCCTTCAATCCGAATTGAGATCCGGTGATGGAAAGTCGGATTGTGGAACGCCTTCTATCCGAATTGAAATCCGGTGATGGAAAGTCGGATTGTGGAACGCCTGCTATCCGAACTGAAATCCGGTGATGAAATGTCGGATTGTAGAACGCCTTCTATCCGAATTGAAATCCGGTGATGAAAAGTCGGATTGTGGAATGCCTTCTATCCGAATTGAAATCCGATGATGAAAAGTCGGATTGTGGAACGGCTGCTATCCGAACTGAAATCCGGTGATGAAAAGTCGGATTGTGGAACGCCTTCTATCCGAACTGAAATCCGGTGATGAAAAGTCGGATTGTGGAATGCCTTCTATCCGAATTGAAATCCGATGATGAAAAGTCGGATTGTGGAATGCCTTCTATCCGAATTGAAATCCGGTGATGAAAAGTCGGATTGTGGAACGCCTTCTATCCGAATTGAAATCCGGTGATGGAAAGTCGGATTGTGGAATGCCTTCTATCGGCATTGAGATCCGGTGATGGAAAGTCGGATTGTGGAACGCCTTCTATCCGAATTGAAATCCGGTGATGAAAAGTCGGATTGTGGAATGCCTTCTATCCGAATTGAAATCCGATGATGAAAAGTCGGATTGTGGAACGCCTTCTATCCGAATTGAAATCCGGTGATGAAAAGTCGGATTGTGGAACGCCTTCTATCCGAATTGAAATCCGTTGATGGAAAGTAGCATTGTGGAACGCCCTCTATCCGAATTGAAATCCGGTGATGAAAAGTCGGATTGTGGAACGCCTTCTATCCGAATTGAAATCCGGTGATTGAAAGTTGGATTGTGAAACGCCTTCTATCCGAATTGAAATCCGGTGATGGAAAGTTGGATTGTGGAACGCCCTCTATCCGAATTGAAATCTGGTGATGGAAAGTCGGATTGTTGAACGCCTTCTCTCCGAATTGAAATCTGGTGATGAAAAGTCGGATTGTGGAACGCCTTCTATCCGAATGGTATCTGGAGATGGATATCACAGAGAGGGTACCTGAAGTAAAACCTACACCCAAAGTCACT